GTACACACGGCCAAGCAGATACTGTGTATGTACAGAATAGTCTGTTTCACAACTACATTTAGATGGGAATCACTGCAATTCCTGCTCTACACTAGTAACTTGAATCATTCAGCACCTCATCTGTGAATATTACTATATGACTTCTTTTCTATTGCTGATGCTTGCAGTCAATATGTATTTAAATTCACACTCTAGTGATGCTGAATAAGAAAAAAAAAGTAGGAAGATGTTCATATCTCTGTACAAAGCTTACAAGTGATCTTTTGGGGAAAAGATCCAAATGTGCCTTTGTTATCACACAAATAGAATGTGTACTTTAAATAAGTTTTCAAAGTTGTAAAACTTTTGAAATAAGCTAGAAAAGCCATACGGGTTACTCAAAATCACCCTAAAGGAACTAACAGCTTGTCTATTCATTTGCTTGAGAAATGCACATTGTTTAGGTTCCTACCAGTTTGTCTACAGATGTGATTGCCTAATAAAACTAAAAGTTGTTATTATGAGCTGTTGATTTAGTCTACAGAAGTTGTCCATTATGTTGAAAAAGTCCTAAACATTTAAATCACATTTCTCTCAGCTGATCTTCCTCTATAATCTTCCAATTTGGGTACCTCAGTATGTCTTTCTTGAGAATTCCTGGTCTTTCAGTTACTCTGTAAAAGTTTTCTTTTTCCATTAAACTTAGATGAGCATTTTTAAATTCAATGAAAGTCTTTAAGTTTTCCTTATTTCAAACACTATGTAAATACTGATATATTCATAAATATAGGGAAGATAGCTTACCTACTAAGTGTCCAGTCCACATATGATAAAAACTACTCTAAAACAACAGGATTTTTTTTTTCTTTTCAGGAAGAAATCAAAACTGTACATTGGAACAAGGTACCAGATGACAAAAGCAGGTCCTTCTTTTCCCCCTCCCCCACTGTTCTGGAAATGTAAACAAAAATATATAAGTACAAAAGCAATTTCTGTGCCTTTTTCTTCAAACACTTTTTCAGCACCTCAGTGACATTAGGTGTACTTTATGCTTGGTTTGGCAGAAACTATGTATGCTCACATAGCTGTTCAGGGGAATTCAGGTTTCTCACTACCAAATATCACTGGTGAAGCTAAGCTCTTTGGATGATAAAGGTAGCAGAGAACTGTTCCTATGAAATTCTTGGGCTTCTTTCAGGGTATTATTAAGGGGTACTTGTCCATTGAGTAGTGTGAGAGGCAGGTTACAGTAAGTGTGGTGGTTGCCTAGGGAAGGTACTGGCAAGGTGGATGTTGACATCTCATGTTTATAGCCTCTGCAACAGTGCCTCATTTGCATCGAATCTGAATGGTGGAAATCAGGGAGATCAGCTTGAGATGACACCAGAGTGGCTGACGTACTGGTCATGGCAATAGAGGGTATAGGTTGCAGTTCTCCAAAGAGTCCTTGTTCTGCAGAGTCCAGAACATGGCACCGAGATAGCATTTCCTTTTTCTTGCTGGGCATTTCATATACTAAATGCTTCCAAAACTTAGAATTTAATTTGCTGCTTTTAGGTCCCTTCCACTTGATCAGGGACAGTAGTTTGATGCTGCGCTTTAGTGATTCCACTTCCTGGCAATTCACCTTCCCTTTTAATTTTGTACACTCAATCAAAATCACTTTGATTTCTCCACTGACTAGCATGTTATTGAGTTTGCTTTCCAATTCGAAAATACTCCATCCCCGTCTGAGAATATAGTCTGGAGTTAGCACGATAATAAGTCTTCTGCTTTGCTCAACACATCTTGTGAGATCTTCAATGTATGCTACAAATCACAGAAAGAGAGAAAGAGTAAAACAAAGACATTTCTAGTCTTGAAAGCATTAGGCTTGCACTTTAGTATAGCAAAGATCCAGTCCTTCTCTAAAAAACATTTTCTTTCCTTTTGTACAATCAGAAAGAAAAAATAATTTTTTTAGAAAAATAATAGCTTATAATCCTTATTTTCTTTTCCCTTAGTGTTACTTACAGTATTCTATTCACTAACATAAGCTATGACGTCTTCAGAACTTAAGTGTATTTCAGTGATTTTTATTTATTTAATCATTTAACACCAGGCAGGATTCCAGGCTATTATTCTAAGTGAATGAACAATTAATGAATTCATGAAAAGAGAGAGCATTTTAATAAACGCAGGGCTACAGTATTTATGTGTTTGGTTTGCTTCCTCCCCCTCCCTTCAGTTTTTGGTGACTAAACAAGTACAAGATCTACATACACCAACTATTTAGAAGAGAGTTGTGATACAGAGATGCTGGAAAATCTCTTCTAGAATCATAGTCAGTCTGTTTCCCAGAGTACCTTCTGGTATTTGCAACCTAGGTCCTCCATTTTTCCCTTCAAACCCGAAAATAGGGAAGTGGTGTGTGTGCCCAAGAGTTTAATTTGAACCAGCTGCTTTTTGTTCAGAGGGAGTGTGTGTGTGTGTGTGTGTGGGGGGGGAGTGTTGAAGCTGGGGGATGGTGTGGAACGTACAGTGAAGGAGGAGGAGGAGGAGTCTATCAACTGAGAAGTCTTTGCCTCACTCCGTGGAGCCATTCGGAAAGTGAGAAGAATATATCATGACCTTTTCAGGGCAGACACGAACTCAAACTAACTCTACATTGATTTGTTCCATGGAATAATCCCTTTGCAATCATGCTTCTCAAACTCTTATACGCCAAAAAGGGGAACACACGCATGTGTTAACAAATGGACACTTGGACACAGGTGCTGCAACGAAAGCTGTCTTTACTAAGCAGAGCACAAGGGCTTGTCTACTGTACAGTGCCCTCTAGCAGAAGCAGTGCTTACAGAAGCATAGCAACATTTGTCACTACAAATCTGCCCAAGGTTACAGACTGCTTTCAAGGAGTCACGTCCAATACACAGTGTGGGAGCCACCAAACAGCCCAGTACAAGCCATTTGAAAAGAGCTTCAACTTATTTTACATATTTTACAGATGATCTCTCTTTTTCAGGGTTTTATTTCCACCACATGGCAGCAAGAAAATGTTCAAAAGTGAAAATTGAGCAAACTTTCTTCTATACACCCTACAGATAAACAAGAAAACTTTTTAAGAAACACACATAGGAAAGCCTATTTAACAATTTATTCTTACTGCTGTTTTGGTTTTTACTTAACATATTTCAGGTTTTTCTCATGCAAGTAGTTACAATGGTTTTTATCTGAGAGATAAGACAAATTCTAATTGGGGAGGGAAAGTCTAAAATATTCTAAGTGGTTTATTTTAGAGATTATGTATTCAGGGGAAAAAATATCAGCATTGAAATCTGAAAACAAACTAAAAAAGCAAAACAAACAAACAAAAAACAACCCCAAACAAAAACAAAACACCACACCAGTAGTAACGGGGAAGTTATCACTCTGTAGTTATCACTTAGAGAACTGGTGAAACAGAATGGAAGGAAAGGTAGAAAGTTTCAATAGAGTGGAAAAATATTATCCCAATGTATCAACAGCTCTGACTCTTCATTTTCTTCCTTTCTTTCTGCTCCCAAAAAGAAAGAAGTTATGTGGGAAGCTTCATCATTAGAAGTTGGATCTGTAAGATACAGTAAAATAAACTTCATTTATGCCCGATCTGAAGACATTGTGCCTTTGCTCTGTTAAAAAAAAAAAAAAAAAAAACCACAAAAAACCACCACCACTACCACAACAACAAAAACCTAAAAAACAAAAACAAAAACAAACCCAGAATCATGGTATTAGTGCAGGAATCCATGAAAGTACAGCTTTACCAGGTAGATTATGGGTTAATTATTAATTTTATAGAAGGTTTCTTTACAAAATCATTTACCAAAGTGTTGCCCCATGTATTATTTATCCTTCATTAATTGCATTTATTAATTTAAATTGAAAAAATGGATTGGTACAAACCTTGTCAGGAGCACTTCTGTCATGTAACGTGTATCTCTATGCACAATACTATAAGCAGTTGCCAGGTGATTAATGTCAGACTTACAGGCAACCTGTACTTGCCCTTTAATATTACGTAAATTTGTCCTCACTGTGAAATGATCAAACCAACACCTACACACAATAAATTCATCACAATCACCTTCACTCGCTGCACTTGCAGCTTTGAAGCCACTGAAATGTCTTCAAGCCTTTTCTTACATTAAAGCTAAATAAGGATGGTATGCACCTGTTCCTACTTACCTACAAATTCCTGAAGACACTGTTAGGAACGAATCTTGTGTGTAACCCAGGGACTGCCTATATTTGTATGTATGAGGTAGTAGTTTAAATGTACTTTCAAAATTATACTTTTAGAAACAAAAAATGTATCTATGCCTGTCTCTACCTACTTAAATAAGCAATAAACAATATCATGATAAATGGAGAAAAGACTGAAGTTGTCAAGAATTTCATTTTCATTTTTCATTCCACTATCAATGACCATTGAGCAGTCATCAAGAAATCAAATGACATATTGCATTGGGCAGATCTGCTGCAAAAAACCTCTTTAGAGTGTTTAAGAGCAAAGATGTCACTATGAGGACTAAGGTGCACCTGACCCAAGCCATGGTATTTTCTTTAATTAAAAAAAAATTTTTTTATTGTGATTTGAGTGAAAGTTTACAGAGCAAATTCACTTTCCATTCAGCAGTTCACATATACTTTGTCTCATGATATTGACCACAGTTTACCACAATGCAACAGCTCCCCTCCCACTTCCTCCCCATAGTTACCTATTCCCAGTGTCCATCCCTCCATGGACTTCTGCCCCCTGAGCTGTCTCCCTGTGCATAAGCAGCCCTTCTTTCTCCCATGATTGTTCTCTCCAGGGCGTGTGTCTA